CGGAACAGCGTTTAAAAAGTTTCCGTTATCTTTTTAAATAAACAATTAACTCCAGATTAGCTGAAACTATACCGCACTTTTTTTTTAAATTCTGCTTCCTGCGAAGCTCAATGTTTCAGCCGTTACGTCTGCTAAATTTTTTTTTTAAACTTTTATAGTTCCTACCCGAATGTTAAAGTCGTAAATTAAACTCAACATTTTAACTCCCAATGCTCCAAAGCGGCAGGTTTAATTAATTAAAATCTGGACGGGTTTTTTTTTTTTTTTTCACGATTTATGCAAATTAATCTGCACGTACTTGATAATTATGCCAAGTCTTGTGAGAACCGGTTGGTAGTCTGATAACAATTCGCTGCCACGTGGGGGGGGGGGGGGGGGGGGAAGAGAGAGAAACCCAAAAAAAAATTTTGAGGGGTGGGGAATTTTTTTTTCAACGCTACTGAACTTTCTCAGCGGCATTATCTGGGGGTCAGGGGGAGAATGGGGGGGGGGGGGGGCGTAAGAAGGAATGAAGAATTTTACCCTCCCCTCTCTTCTCATCTCTATCAACACTAGATTAACCAATTTATAAAATTAAAAATACCAGCTTTTCGGAATGTTAAAAAATTGCGATTAATGAAATTTTGTTTCGTTTATTGCGTGTAAGCACCTTGCAGCATTGTGCTTTTTTATTAAATTTTATTTCCAGGCGTCTTCCGGTGTTGCAGGGACTTCCCGGATGTTGAGCCAATCGGGTGGAGGCTGGCAAGAATTTTGGTTATCTTTATGAAGGGCCTGGTTAAAAAGGACCGGGTTCTCGACACTAAAAGGTCCCCGCGGGCTTGCTTTGATCGGCACTCACGGGCATGACGACACGCGTAATTACATCTCACTACACTTACATTACATGCCACTACACTTACATTACATCCCACTACACTTACATTAGCTGGGCGGGGCGATGTAATTTTCTGTACACGCCTGTTTACGTACTCAGCATACACGTGTTTTTTCTTAACTAAATTTTATTGCGTTTTTATTTTACCTGGGGAAACTTATTTCCCACTTATAATTTTATTTTTAAACAATTTTAACATGGGATTCTATTGTAATTTTTACAGCTATTTTTTTCAGCCTCTAACATATAGGCTTGCATAGGACCAGGCGAATAGGGATGTACAGAGCTATGCAATGGCATGTTTCTGAACGATATTCAAACCTGGTTCGATTATTTCTCCAGGGGTAAGGTGATGACCAACAGAAAAAAAAAAAAATTCTATAAACCTATGATAGGAAACAGCGTGGTATAGCGGTCTCGAGTTCGAATCCGGTTTCAAATCAGCTCTGATGTGTACCTAACGCGCGATAGGGAAATAAAGGCGGCTGTGCATCTTCCCATTATTGGGGGTTCTAATGCTGACCAGCTACCTACTATTGGGGGAGAGGGGGGGGGGGGGGGGTTCTAATATTCTATCATTTACCATGTACCTACTATTGGGGCTTCTAATACGCCATTAAACTGACCAACCTACTCCATCAAACTGACCAACCTACTCCATCAAACTGACCAACCTACTCCATCAAACTGACCAACCTACTCCATCAAACTGACCAACCTACTCCATCAAACTGACCAACCTAGACCAACCTACTCCATCAAACTGACCAACCTACTCCATCAAACTGACCAACCTACTCCATCAAACTGACCAACCTACTCCATCAAACTGACCATCTACCTACTATTGGGGTCTAAATACTCCACCAAACTGACCTACTATTTGGATCTAATACCGGACTAAATACTACCCTAGGTTTTGGCTGATTAGCTATCTCCATGGCTGCCATTCCATCAACCCATACCCCCCCCCTCTTACCACACCCCCCCCCACCCCGACCTTTTCCTCTCCCCCCTGCTACGTCTGCTCCCATGGAGCCACGATAAGATAGATGTTAGCGGCCCAAGTGCAAGTGGTGGTGGTGGGGGGGGGGGGGGGGAGAGGGTCGCGCACGTTGGTGTTATTCCAACGATAAAGCATTTAACTTTGTGTTTTATTATGTTTCTACATTGAAGGGTGGTGTCCTTTGACGGGAGGGTGGGGACGGGGGGGGGGGACAGAACACGAGGAGGGAGGCGGGGTCTAGGAGAGTGAGTGGAATAAAGCGTGCGCGATCCATATCGTTTGTCATAAACGAAACAAGCACTTTGGTAGGGTAATGCAGATGTTAAGATCAGTGTTTCTTCCAGACTTTTTTCTCCGGGGGGGGGGGGGGCACTTGAAATCTTCGGGGGGGCGGTAAACTTTCTTCGGGGGGGGCGGACACTGTTAAAAGTTTATATTTTCTATATAAATTATATAAATTTCATTTCGTTCGGGGGGGGCGGTAAAAAATTTTCGGGGGGGCTTCGCCCCCCCGAAGAGATGCCTGGAAGAAACTCTGGTTAAGATGTGTGCTAAATATAACTCACGGAGTCGCGCCGAAATGGACACGTCGGTCTGGTTTGTTTTAAACTGTAGAAACTACACCGAGACAAATTTTATGAGTTTATTCTCCCTAAAATTGTTTTAGTAATATGTATTGAACTTTAAACTTTCAGCGCGCAGCTTCTTTTTTACTCCCCCCCTCCCCCTCCCACCACCATCCCCATTCCTTGCATGTCATTTGGCTGTGGAAGATTTATGTATAAATTAACTAAAAGTGGAAGCGATTGGCCACAAAGAAGTGTCGTTTTTTAGATGACTTTAGGGGATTTTTACTTGTCTTGTACCTAAGTATAATTGATGGACTAGTTGATGGAGTACTTTATTAATTAATTGACTGACTCATTGATTGTCTTTTTGCTGGCTAATTGGTCGACTATTTGATTATTCAATTAACTTGTTGATTGACTGTTTACTGGTCGACTAGATGACTGACTATTTGGTCGATTTTTTTAGTATTTGATTAACTTGTTTGATTATTTTACCGTCTACCCGAGCGTCTATTTAATTAGTTGGTTGATGTATGGGTGGGGTTTGGGGAGAAGTACAGTTCGGCCATGCTTGACTGACACAGGTAACCTCTAAGGGACTGTTGACGTCACCGGAAGATTGATGGAGGTAAGGGACGGAGGCCGATGGATTTGTTAAATAGGTAGGCCTAATGTGGCCGGTGGATTGGCGGATACTATGGGATAAAGGCCGCTGGATTGGATGGAGGTCAGTGGATTGATGGATACTATCGGATGAAGGCCCGTGGATTGACTGATACTATGGGATGGAGGTCGGTGGATTAAATATGTACGGTACACAGGCCGGTGGATCGGCGGCAACTAGGGATGGATAACTCCACCGGGCGACAGAACGTGTAGGATGGATGCGACGACGTCAAGTAGCGCGTTGTTCGAGTGAAGTGTTTCCATTTTAACGCGGACTGAAGGGGACGGGACGCACATCAAGTGGCGTCAACAACGTGCTGAAGATGTGCTCACGTACACCCCCCCCCCCACCCCACCCCACCCTACCCTACCCTGCACATAAGCCCAGACTTGAATGGGTGATGCAGTTCCCAGACCCACACTCCTTGATGACGTCAAACTGCACGTTCTCTGATGGCTCTCGTGAGTCGTTGTGACGTAATGCTACCGGCGTTAATTTAAGTGAGGCGATTTCAAAGAAACGCTGACCTAATGAGCCGGGGTTCAAGCTAGGTTCAAGGACTTTAATATGTTGTAGGCTTAGTAGATGAAACGTCGGCATGTCATACTTGAGGTTAAAGGGTGGTTAGTAGCACTGGTTTAACACTAGCCTTAACCCAAGTGATCGTAACCCTAACCTTTAGCCTTAATTAACTTTAATTAATTATGAACTTAATCCTTACCCAAGCATCAACCTTGATACACATTGTAAACATAAAGGAACCACGATAGAGATTATCAAGCCGAAGACTTTTGAATAATAACGTCAGTGTTTAAAATTATTTGTCATGGGTCAACTAATACATTTTCTACATTACTTATTGGAATACATTTAATAATTTGAAATATTATGTGTCTAGATTCAAAAGACAAAATCTACAAGTTATTAAATAGTTGTCTAAGAATACTAATATTTCACAAAGTTAAGAGCCATTGTGTCATCTTATTTCATACCAGTCACCTTCTTATAGTAGTCTTTAAGTCATCTTAAAGTCATATTTTATAAGTCTTAGTCCCATTATGAATAGTTTTTACACTTCATTCAACAATTAACAAGTCTTTTGACTGACCAAATTCTTAGAGAAGACAAAAATCTAAAGTCAAAACATCATCTAACTTGACTTCACACTTTACATGACTTTACATAATCCAAGTCAAGCTCAAACTTTCCATTTGCACCCCCCTCAAACTTTCCATTTGCACCCCTCCCCCAAACTTTCCATTTGCACCCCCCCCCCCAATATATTTTTTTTTATATTTATAATGACAAACTGCACCTAAAATGAGATTTTAATTTGTTTTTTCAACCCATTTTGGCGCCCCCTAAGGTCGGCGCCCGGGGACGTATGTACCCCCTGCCTCCCCCTTCGCTACGCCTCTGTCTAGCTCTAATAGAGCAGTATAACTAGCTTCAGTCAACTCTAGCTCTAATTAAGCAGTGTCATAACACTCACAAGTAGGGATGTTATATTTTAACTCACTATAAGAACTACCATCACGCAATAGCATTATCGGTCTATATTATAGACTATAGACTAAACCTACATGCTGTAATGCTATTGAGTAGAATTAAGTCTAATAATACTTGGTAAATATTGGGTAAAAATTAAGTCACTCAAAATCAATCACAAACAATTTCTTACTGCTAAGTATAAATTAACAACCGTATTCGTGAAGTCAATCTAATAAAATCTCTTACTGCAAAGTATAAAGTAACAATCGTATTCCCAGAGTCAATCTTATTCTTATTATAAAATATCTTACTGTGAAGTAACACCCGTATTCCCATGATTCAACAGGCACCTGACCATTGATCACCAAAAAAAAAAAAAACCCCACTCACCTCAACAATAATCCATTAGGAATTCAAACAATGGAAGAACTTTCTACCTTCGATGATGGCGTCAATGGCTTCTTGTCTCAACAGCAACAAGTTAAATCTATGTGTAGAAACAGCGAACAAAAAAACCACCACAACACCACACTTCATACAAGTCGCTGTCTTCGTTCACAAAACCGGTCTTTTTCCGTGTTGTATCGGGGTAATCAAAACAGTGGACTCGCTCAGGCCGTGGCTTAAATAAGACGCGACGGATGCCCTCCCCTGATTCGAACAGCCTCCTTCAACAGCTTGTGTAGAGTACTTTCATTCGCTGGAGAAGGAAAAACAAAATAAAAGTAGGGAGGGGGGATCGAACTCTGAGTTGCAATGTCAAATATAACGGCAGGCGGGAGTTTAAAAAAAAAAGTGGGGGGTTGTGATAATAGATTTACGCTACTGGCGGTGGCGTGATAGGCCACGCCTACTTCGGCTTACGCGCGCACGGGATTGGTCAGACGGAAGATGAGCTTGTCGATAGCGTTTGATGGCGCGCGAGCTGACGATGGGTGGCGGATTGTGGGATGGACATTGACGTAGTGGATTGAGACGTGGTTTTAAAATCGAAGGAAGGTTCGGGCGGGGTTCGGGTAGGACTGAGGGGGTCAGTGGCGTAGCCAGGATCGTCTCAAGGGGGGGGTTCCAATTTTTACCCGGGGACAAACTTTCGATTTGCACCCCCCCCCTCAAACTTTCGATTTGCACCCCCCTCATACTTTTTATATATACCGAGGGGTCTATGGGGGGGTTATGACCCCCCCTAACCCCCCCCTGCCTACGCCACTGGAGGGGGTCATATGAAACTAGGGTTATTCCTGGTGAGCAATTATTTCCTTTGGTCAAACCATGTATTTAAAAAATAAAATAACAATAACTATCACTCACTTGTGTTGGTGACTCAAATGTTTTCAACAAATTGGCGAGGCGTGCGTGATGAGATTAAAAATAGAATCTTAGATCAAGTTGTTTTTTTTTATAGTGGGGGTGACTTGATCATCAAATTTCATGCTGGCTATTTCACCCAATAGCCGTACCCATATATAGACTTTATAATCGATTCCATAATGTCGGCGAAAGCGATACTTTAACTAAAAAATAATCAGAATTTTACCCCCCCCCCCCCGACAAATCCTCGTCCATCTTTCTCCCTCAATTTTAAAATTAATGTCAATTAGGTATAAATCAAGTGGTAACAATTTATTCTCAGGCGATTGAAGTGGTTTCTATTATACAATACGGCTAATTACGTGATTGTTAATTTGTAGTTTTCACGAGTCAAACTACCCGAATCTCATATATTCAGTTCAAGTAAGTGATGTGCCACCAAACTACCTGAATCTCATATATTATATAATAAGTTCAAGTAAGTGATATGCCACAAAACTACCTGAATCTCATATATTCAGTTCAAGTCTTTGATATGCCACCACTATCGTTAAACCAAAATTTTGACGTCACCCAAAACCAAACGATTCCTACCTATTTCCAGAGTTTCTGTTTCTTTCTGGTATCTTTCCGCAACGAAATTGAGTTTAGATACAAAATATATACTTCAACCATGGTCCGCCCCCACCCCCTTCACCGGAAATTTAAGTACGCCCCTCCCCCCTTCCCCCCCCCCCCCCCCCCCTCCCTGCCCGGAAAAAACAAATTCCTAAAATAACACTGCCTATATTTGATCAATTTGGCCTAGTCCACGTCGATCCAAATGTGCAGAGTTAGGTCCCTCATAACGGAAAAGTACATTGTCGAGTAATCAAGTTTTCACTCTAACACACACACACACACACGCACACACAAACCCACCCCACACATGCTCACACAAGGAGTAGAGTTTACGTGTTTAACATAACGCACCCCAAATAGCCGCACTTGAAGCCTATAGCCATGGTGTGCATCTCACTTGAACCTTGCCCTCCCCCAATAAGTAGCCGGCTAATTATAGGTACGGCTAACCACGCCACCGTGAGTACTTTATCTGTAAATATTTTTTGGTTGGTCAATGTTAGGGTTAACTTTTTAACTTTTTTTTTTTAATATTCGTAACAGGAAAATTTTATATTCGTGTTTGGTAAATCTTAAGACTGACTTATTTTACACAATGTCTTGTGCTCTTAGGTGTCCTGTGGCTATTTCTGTGTCTTAAAAGTGCTATTTTAAAGGTAGTTTTATTATGAAAAACTTGATGGTCACGAAAACAATATGTGCTATTTTCACGAAACTATTATAAAGCTGTTACTGTTATAGGTGACTTGTTTTCTCTGAGAACTATGCGTAGTGTTAAGACTAGTTAGGACTAGACACAGGCGTAGCGGGGGGGGGGGGTGTTGAAAAAAAGATTAAAAGCACATTTTAGCTGCATTTTTGCATTACAAATATAAAAAAATATATGGGTTTGTTCCCGGGGGGTGGGGGGTGTTAAATAGACAGTTTGTTCCCGGGGGGGGGGGGGGCGCCAAATTGAAAGTTTGTACCAGGGCGCCGGGAAGGGTCACTACGCCTCTGGGACTAAAGTTAGGACTTGAGTTAGGACTAGGGTTAGGACTAGGGTTAGGACTAGAGCTATAGAGTTAGGACTAGGGTTAGGACTAGGTACAGGCTGTGTGCATATGAGGTGCGGGAAATTTTAAAATTGGTCCCCAACTTCGAATTAAATTAATTATTTTTCATTAAAGTCTGATAATCATTCTCAGCTTGATGAAAATTCACGCGACCAACTTTTTAAAAATCGAAGCTCTAAAAGGCCTAGTACATCACAGTTTTAAGGGATTATTTACCTGAGGCCCACATAAATGTATTACCTCGGGCCCACCGGAATTTTTCCAGGTTGACAGGCGGGCCAGCCCACCCCTGACTAGATAATGAGAATATTTGTAGCAAAATAACGCGTTTAAGAAATAATTTCATGAAAATAATGAAGGAGCTTCATTAAGGTTTAATTAACCCGTTCACCCTCGCTAACCTCCGAACAAAACCCTGTTTACGCCGCCGACCTGGGTAACAAATTATCACAACTGGGAATCCAAAACACATTGAAAAACTACGGTGTGTTTAAATCGATTAGCCGTACCCGCATGCTTGTACAGCCTAGCTCAGCGGGTAACTTTAAGAGATGAAGAATCACCGATGCTAGCAGTGTACGGCTAATCAACATGTACGAAAGAAACTCGCAGGAAATGAAGTGTGAAAGGATGAGCTGAAATTTAAATAAAAATATCACTAGGAACAGAAGCACACCAGCTGATCTATAGCGTGGAGTCGGATTCTGTGTCTGGGTTGTTGAGATATTTTTATGCAGTCAGATGGGGAAATATTGTATCCAACTTCGCTATGCCCTGGCATGCCCTACAATGTCCTTTTCTATGCCCTGTCAAGGCTTACCACGCCACACTATGCCCTGCCACAGAAATCACCATCAACTTTTGCCTGTCTCTGCCAACTTTCCTAACAGTTCCGCACGATAGCTCGGGCAGTGTTTCTTCCAGACTTTTTTCTCTGGGGGGGGGGGGGGGGGCGCACTTGAAATTTTCGGAGGGGGGGGGGGGGAGGGCGGTCAACATTTTCTGGGGTGGGGGGGGGGCGGACACGAGTAAAGGTGTATGTTTATTATATAAAATCGATTTCGTTCGGGGGGGGTAGACTTTCCAAAGAGATGCCTGGTAGAAAATCTGCGCTCGGGTCTTGTCAGTTGTAGTCCTAACCTGATCAATCTATTTCGATCATCACACCCGCGTTGGTACGACCCTAACCCCAGCGTTTCTTCCAAGAAGGAAGTCTACCGCCCCGCCCCCTGAACGAAATGGAATTTATATAGAAAATATATACTTTTATCAGTGTCCGCCCCCCGGAAATTTTAGTCCGCCACCCCACGAAAATATAAAGTGCCTTCCCGGAGAAAAAAAAGTCTGGAAGAAACACTGCCCTAACCAATATCCTAACCTCGCATCCATCCTAAGTTTTTCTACTGCTTAAGAGCAACAGAATCTTGAGCAACATGTGGGCTTCATGTCTATTAACGCTCAACGATTGAACCCAAATAGCACTATCATCACGGTTACTTTTCCTCATTAGTTATGTGTCCCAAAATGTCCGGCATAAAAGGGAAAAATATGAAGATAAGGATAAAAATAAAATATTTTGTAATGTCACAATTTGTGACTTATTATATGCCCCTCCCCTCCTCCACCCACACCCACACATACTCACACACACCCACACATATCCCACATCTTCCTGTTTTATGTTGGTCCAAGTGCCAAGTTCACAAGCACGTACTTAGAAAAATTCCAGTGTTTAGACTTTAACAATCAGCATCAGCGTGAGCGTTGTGTGAGTCTGTTGTCAAATCGTGCTCCATCAGGGCGTAAAGTGGGTACAGTGAGCGTTGTGTGAGTCTGTTGTCAAATCGTGCACCATCAGGGCGTAAAGTGGGCACAGTGAGCGTTGTGTGAGTCTGTTGTCAAATCGTGCACCATCAGGGCGCAAAGTGGGTACAGTGAGCGTTGTGTGAGTCTGTTGTCAAATCGTGCACCATCAGGGCGTAAAGTGGGTACAGTGAGCGTTGTGTGAGTCTGTTGTCAAATCGTGCTCCATCAGGGCGTAAAGTGGGTACAGTGAGCGTTGTGTGAGTCTGTTGTCAAATCGTGCTCCATCAGGGCGTAAAGTGGGTACAGTGAGCGTTGTGTGAGTCTGTTGTCAAATCGTGCTCCATCAGGGCGTAAAGTGGGTACAGTGAGCGTTGTGTGAGTCTGTTGTCAAATCGTGCACTATCAGGGCGTAAAGTGGGTACAGTGAGCGTTGTGTGAGTCTGTTGTCAAATCGTGCTCCATCAGGGCGTAAAGTGGGTACAGTGAGCGTTGTGTGAGTCTGTTGTCAAATCGTGCACTATCAGGGCGTAAAGTGGGTACAGTGAGCGTTGTGTGAGTCTGTTGTCAAATCGTGCTCCATCAGGGCGTAAAGTGGGTACAGTGAGCGTTGTGTGAGTCTGTTGTCAAATCGTGCTCCATCAGGGCGTAAAGTGGGTACAGTGAGCGTTGTGTGAGTCTGTTGTCAAATCGTGCTCCATCAGGGCGTAAAGTGGGTACAGTGAGCGTTGTGTGAGTCTGTTGTCAAATCGTGCTCCATCAGGGCGTAAAGTGGGTACAGTGAGCGTTGTGTGAGTCTGTTGTCAAATCGTGCTCCATCAGGGCGTAAAGTGGGTACAGTGAGCGTTGTGTGAGTCTGTTGTCAAATCGTGCTCCATCAGGGCGTAAAGTGGGTACAG